TGAGGACAATTATATGATCCATTTTCTTCTGTTGAAATCATTTTTGGGTGAGTTGTTGTCTAAGAGGTTAATATTATAAATGCAATTACTATTTATCTATATAAAAAAAAACTTTTTCAATTAAGAATTGAAAATAAAAAAAGGAAAATTAGGGACCATCGGTCCCCCCAATTCGGCCTGGGGACCGTTCGGTTTTCTATAGCGTCACCCAATGGGGTAGGGTAACGTTTCCTGCGTTACGCCAAAAAGCCAAAAACACGAAAAAAAAAAAAAAAAAAGACGACGAAGCAGAACTCTACTTCCCTCATAAGAATTCTCTTTCCCATAGATAAAACTCGCCCTTCGTCTTCACCTTGCAATCTTCAACCAGCCTCCTCGTCTCCAGAACCTTCTCACACCCATATCCGCAGAGCCGTTCGTACTCATTAGCCCCCTAAACTGTTTCAGGACTCGTTTCTTTTGTCTACTTCTGCCGTTTTCCCGTACTGATTCGGTGAAGAATTGAGCACGTCAAGCGTTGAGTTTGTCCTTCGATTGAGGTTTTCTCTACTCTTTGATTCCCTTTTCGTGTTTTTGCTCCAACAGTTGATTGTTGCTGACTGCAAATTTTTTTGGGGAATAGTTTTAGAAATTTGTTGGGTTGCTGCGGCGTTAATTGTACTGTTGTTAGTACAGAGAGGAACCCTTGGTATTGGGGAGCTTTTTGCGTCTGCCATACGGATTTTAGGGTTTGGTTTTTGTGGTTGTTTAGGATAATGGGTCCTGGTTATGTTTTCAGAGCCGCCTCGTTTTGCTATTCCTTGTTCATGGGGTAGAATTGGTTTACTTCAGAGATTAGGGTCGAATTTGACGAACCCCAGTAGTAACCCTTCTCTTGAATAAAGACAAGGGGCTTATTCTGGAGCAGAAGCGCTTAGATAACATATAACTGTTTTAAACTGTGAAGGTACTTTATATAAAGAAGAGAGTCATTGGTGGCATTTATTGGACAGTATAGCACAGGAGAAGTTTAATTGAATTGATTGATTCATTGAGGTTAATCTTGACGGAGGATTTTTGGTGACTTTTAACAAAATAGCGTATAGACTGATTTGGCCAAGCCTTATTACATTATGTACAGAACAGTTTTGAAGAGTTAGTGGCTAGGAAATTTTGATTTAGAGAAGTAGTGACTTTTACGGTGCATCTCAGGCAAGCTATTTGATTTGTAAAGCTACCTCAAAGAAAATTTGTATAAGTTTTTGTGAGGAAATAAAACAATTTTGGCGAGTTTGTGGAGAAGTTTAACCAGAAAGATAGATTTTGGAGTTCTTTGTTTATGATCATGTTTAATCATAGTTATGGAAAGAAGTGAGCCTTCATTAGTGCCACAATGGCTGAAGAGCAGTAGTAGTTCACACCTCCAGTTAGCATCAGCATTGCACTCAGGTAATTTTGGTTTGTTTGGATGTGATATTTATCGCTTATGTTTTGTAGGCTGTGAAGGTATATGTTGGCTTTTTTACGGGAATTTGCAGCGTAGTTGTTTAAACCTTAACTGTGATTTCAAAATATTACCTTAGACTTTTGAAATTGATGGTTTTCCTGAACTTTATTTTGCTTGGTAAAAAGAAAGTAAACATCCTTGGGCTCTGCAAGTTTTCTGCTTCAAATACCTTTTTTAGGAGAATCTCTCTATCCTTTGTTGTAAATTTTCTTTCATGTTGTCATTGATTTACCTACCAAAGTTTTCAATAAATCACTTTGACCAAATATTCAGGATTTGAGCTGTACCTCATATTTTCCTATGTCTCCAACCTTCTGGATTGGAGACAAAGCGTGAAATTTTCTTATTTTTTTTTTTCCTTCTTGTAGACAATCATTCAGCAAGGCTTTCCAGAAATAAGTCATCCGTAAGTAGTGATCACGATATAAGCCGCACATCTGTTTCAGAGAAGACTACTTCTGCTTATTTTCACCGGAGTTCTAGTAGTAACACCACTAACTACCCTCCATCATACAGTATTTTTTCTAAAGGGCATCGTGTTAGGGAATGGGAGAAAGATATTAATGGTTATCATGATAAGGAAAGGCACCTTGACTATGCTGATTCTTTGGGTACCACATTGCCAATTTTTGACAAAGATCCATTGTGGCGCTCGCAGTCTTTGATAACAGGGAAGCAGGGTGACTTGTGGCCAAGGAAAGTAATCAATGATTCAAATGCAACCAAAAAAAGCAATCATAACAGTGGTAATGCTCCTAATGGAGCTCACACAATTGGTGCCAAATCTACATTTGAAGACAATTTTCCCTCCCTTGCAGCTGAGGAAAGACTAGATGGGGCAGAGATAGGGGGAGTTTCATCTCCTGGCTCAAATACTGCTAACGAGAGCTTGCAAGGAGGTTCTTCAGTTGTGACTGGCGGTGATAGTTGGACATCTGCTTTAGTGGATGTACCAGTGAATATGGGAAGCAGTGGCACAGGTGTTGCAGCCACTCAGACTGTTTCAGCAAGCTCAGCTTCGATTGTTCCAACCAAGACAACTACCCTTAATATGGCTGAAACAGTGGCTCAGGGGCTTACTCGTGCTCGTACTCCCCCCTTGGTAACTTTAATTTCTCTTGTATTTGTTAGTATTTTTTAGAACACCTTTATTCTTAATATGATTTGTTTCTTATGTTAGTTGAATGTTGGATCTCAAAAGCGTGAGGAGTTGGCTATCAAGCAATCAAGGCAGTTAATTCCAATGACACCATACACGCCTAAACCCTTGGTAAGCAGTATATTTCCCTTAATTATCTTTGATATCCACCTTGTGATACAGGCCCGATTATTAGAGTATTCTCCTGTGGTGTATTTTATTGTTCCTTAAAAACCTCTATCGATGTTTATCTTTACGTCTGGAGTCTGAAGTAGTTACTGAAATACCTCAAGGTTAATATGTAGTTAGTGATTAATATATATGTGGTTATGTATTCGAATTTTTTTTCTGGTTGTTGTAATATTTTTAGGCTTCTAAACTGCTGTGCTCCAAGGCTTCAAAGACATAAAATGCATATGCTACAGCTATTAGATTAAGTTTCCCTTGTTCTCTAAGGAACTTCAAGGCTTCAAGGATTTGATAATAATATAATGTAATGTTGCTTCACAGAACATTGAGTTTTTGATCAGTGAAAATTACTGAAATTTCATCTCCTCCATTTGTCTTGTCATTGTATTCCTACAATAAGTATTGGCATATCAACAACAATGTTTTTGATACATTGGATTAGTGGAAATCCTGAAGGATCCAGAGGTTTTGATGAAGCCTTATTCTCAAGCAATGTTGACAACTCATTGAGGTTTAAATCTTTGGGATATTTTTATATGATATTTTTAACATAAATCAATTAATCATTAATGGGATTAGAGATTGAAGACTGTGTGGCTTAACAAAATAAGAGACATGTTAGTTGCATAGTGCTTCTGGAGGATATTGGCTGTTTAACTTTCTCTTAGGTTATGCGTTTTAGAGGACGTAAATTACACGTTTCATGCTAAAAGCGTTAGTAGAGTGACAATGCTAGAATGCTATAAAACAATTTATGGCTTCGCTTGGCAGGAAAAGAGGGTAAAAAATAAAAAGATATGGTGGGTTGGAATGATACTTTTTGCTCTACAGAGACTATGGCATGAAAGCATCTCTCCAAATGTTGAGACCGTGATTCTGTTATTTTAACCTGTTTGCAAGTTCCAGTATTCCATATGATTTTTGGTTGCTTATTCAAATTTGATTATGCATTTAGGTACTAAGTCCTTCAGAAAAATCAAAATCTAAGATTGGGCAGCACCAGTATTCTTCACTCCCTCTGAATAATTTGCGTGGTGGAGCTGGAAGACCTGATGGTTTAAAGACACCTAATGAGAGCAAGCTTCAGACCCTCAAACCATCACGAGAGCTGAATGGTTTCCCTTCAACTGCAAGGGATACCTTGAGTCCTACCAATGGAAGCAAATTAGCAATTAGCCCAATTAGTGGTAATCCATCATCCACTGCCTCAGCTTCCTTTAGGAGCTCAAGCCTCAGCTCCAGCCCCACTAATGTTGGGCGCAATCCAAGTTCTTTCCATGTAACCATTGAGAAGAGAACAATGGCCCAAGCCCAGAGTAGGAATGATTTCTTCAACCTTCTAAAGAAGAAATCTTCTCAGAACTCCCCTTCTGCTGTATCTGATCCTGGTCCTGCTGTCTCACCATCTTTTTCGGAGAAGTCAGATGAAGTCACTGCAGAAGATGGCAGTACTTCTGTTCCTCTGCACAGTAGCAATGTCCCCCCTTCGTCAGAAATCTCTGTTGCTGGATTGCAAACTGACAGTAGGTCTGACGTGACCCACAATGGTGATTCCTTTGGTGGTTCTTATCAGTGCTCTAGCAATGGAGAGAAGCACCCAACCCACCATGTGTTTCTTGGTGGGGAAGAGGAAGAAACTGCTTTTCTACGTTCCCTTGGCTGGGATGAAAATGCTGGTGAGGATGAAGGTCTTACAGAGGAAGAGATACACAGCTTTTGTGAGGAGGTAACCACTTTTCCATGCTCAAGCTTTGTTTTTTTTTTTTTCGTATGTCAAGTTCTTCAACTCGGCTATTATTTCCTAGTCCTGTTCTATACTTTTTTCCTTTATTTTATCTATTAATGGATAGTAGATTGACGTGCATGTTTTATTTTGCAGTACATGAAGCTGAGACCTTCTGCAAAACTTTCCCAAGGAATGCAGCAAAAATTACCATTGAGCTCAGTAGAAGGGAGCACACTGGATTCGAACTCAGAATCTTGACTCACCAAGTATGCTATTTGACTTGGAAAACTTTCAGTTGATTGCTGAAGTGATTGTGTTTTCCAATTTTGTTTCTTTGTTGATATTGGGTAGAAAATCTTGAGCGTTGAGTACTACAAGCAAAATAGGAACAAATATATGTGGTTGCTGTTTGTTGCAATTGATTGGATTGGATTGGAATAAGCTAAAAGCAATCCAGTCCTGAAAAAGACCTGCTATGCAATCTTCTAGGCTTTTTAACATAGATTTTCTGAGATATAAAGAAGTTGAGAGGTGGGTAGCAGTAGCAATAGGTTTTGTCATTGCCTGCAGTGTAAGAAACTGTTGGGAAAAATAGTTAGACAAACTGGGTTAAAATTTTTTTTGGCTTTGGGGCATAATTGAAACAAAAAGTGTATGGTTTTAGTCATTTGAAGGAAAAGGAAAGAAAATTTAGCCCTTTATGGCTGTCTGTTTGCTTCAATGTTCATATTTGCAAAAAATGATGCCTTTATTCTTACACAAAAAGACAGACATAAGGTTGAATTCTGTTGCTTCTATATTTGAATTGTAAGCAGAAAAATTACCCACATGTTCAACCTAGACTGCATAACTTAGCCTAGATGACACTAAAGTTTCTCTCC